GGGATATAACAAATATCATAATAAAGTAGATAGGGAAACCTATCAGATTCCTAGTGCCTCTTAGAGTTATGTTCACACAGTATTGTCATCTAGCAATGTGAAAAAGTTCCGAATAGTATGAGAATGACCCAAATTTGACACAGAGTTAGTGAGCTCATGATACTGGATAAGGGGCAACAATAGATTTGCTCAATACAGCGTCACCCCCAAAATTCAATTTGTAACCAACTCAGCACTGGAAACGTACAATGAAATGAGGCATGGCTGCATTCCCTGCAAAGAGCTCCTCTAAGCCTCTCAGGACTCAAAGCATCTGCACGTATTCTATACAAATATCTTCATAGCAGAATGTTTGTTATGTGAGCTTGCAATCTTTTTGGACATGGAAAAGAATTCTAAGAAAGAAATACTATCTTAGTATTGCACTTAAGACTTCTAAATAGGAGATGGGGCTGCCAAGGACTTCTTCTCATTAAGAGTTTTCACTTTTCAATCAGCCTAAGAAAAGGAGCCCTGTTGTCCTAGTGCCTTATGATAGGGCTATGAATTTCAAGATCAACAATTCAAAATTATTGGCCTCTCCATGGGAGAAATGTGAGGTTTTATATTCCTGTAAATATTTACAGTCTCAAAAACCCTAATGGGCAGTTTTACTAATTACTATAGGATGCTTGCCTGTCAAATCAATGTGATGGCAGTAACTTTGAGGGTGTTTTTTGTTTTTTTTAACCAATCTTTAACTTTTTCATCATTTCTTTGCAATGTAGTTGAAGGTAACAATAAAACAACATGGAAGAAGGGCAACAATCTGTATGATGGAAGGATTGTTTAATGAAACCCAACTGTGATGGAGAGAATGGTATCAGAGTTTAAATTGTGAACACCTGGTTTGCAAGTCTCTGGAAACAGTGGAATCCCAAATCAATTTGAAGGACCCCCCAACATGGATTCAACCTCTGATGACGTCTTTCTGACCATAGTGGGAAGATGTGAATAGCCTTGCTTTTGGACGGTGAGCATTGTAAGGTCGATTACAGCAGATATAGTTAATGTTAAAATGTAATGCCAGGTCACTTATCTTCCATTTCACTCATTTTAAATTGTTTCTCTTTTTAATATTTTCTGCTTTCTTTTTGATTGAAAATTGTCTATGTTTTTTCTAGTTATTATTGTTTGGTTTTTCATTTGTTTCTTTATTTGCCTTCTTCTCTAATTTTTCATATATGAAATCTAGGATAGTTTGATCTATAGAGACAGTGACTGAATAGGAAACAGCAGGAGTGGAACTGGAGAGCTAGCAACAATGAATATAAGAAAAAATGGTTCTGAAATTGATTGTGGTGATAATTGATGAAATCATCTTGATATGATTGCATGAATAAATTAGATGATATGTAAAGTACATGCCAACGAAACTATTATTAAAAACATTATGTGGGTTTTACTTGGCCATTTTCATGCCATAAATGGACTACATGCTTCTCTCGGGGCAGTGAGCAGTTGTAATAGCAATGGTCCATTCCCAGTACAGCTTCTCTGTCCTACAGCATAGAGAAATTGAAAACTATCATCTTAGGGTGCCTTTACAGGGGTGATTAATATAGGAGGCATTGAAAATTCATCCCCAAATTAAAATCCGAATCGGTGTGACATAGTAGTGACTCAAAATTCATACCCCTCTTGACAATGAAAGCTCCAGATCCATTAACAGAGTCCCCAGTTGGATTAACTCTGCATTGAGCTCCCGGGAAGCTTTGTCTAGAGCAGAAGTCAGCAGACTGATGCTCAAGAGTGTGAGCGGCTCTTTCAGTTTGTACTTGTGGTGCTGAAGTAAAATTGAAAACATCAAACAATGTTACTTATTGTTTAATGGTGATTTCATTTGTTTGTAAAAATGTATTTATGACTCCAGAATACTTTTGAACTTGTTGTGAGGGACAGGTTTGGCACTTCCATTGCCAAAGTTTGCTGATCTCTGTCCTGGAGACATGCCTAGGGTTAATTTTGACTCATGGTAAAGCTACGGGCCAGAGTAGAACTGCCCTTAGCTTCCAAAGTTTGTAAATCTTTTCAGAAACATTTGGCCATATCTTTTCCCCCAAAGCAGCTGGTGGGTTCAAGCTGCTTAGTGTGTGGTTAGCAGTCAAGCACTTGACCGTTGCCACCAGACTCCCTGCCATCCTGAAATAAGTGAGAGCCCACTCTCAGCCTTCAGGGCACAAGAAGGAGCGCCGTCTCAGTACACTCCCACCAAGGGATTGCTTGGTGAGACAAGTAATGAGTTGAAGCTTCATTAATGACTCTATGAACATAGTGTGAGGACGGAGCAAAAGGGACTGGTTTTCACAGAACACATCTATGGTAACCTAGTCTACCTGCATAGTCTCGTTTAATCCTCCACAATTCCTTGACACAACAGGGACTCTCATTTTATAGGCAGACACACTGAGGCTCAGGAAGTTAACTTAAAGGATAATATCACACATTTAGGCGGTGAAAGAATCAGGGAAAATGATTCTTTCAACTCTACCTTAGCTGAAAAAGAAGCCCTTTTGGTGTAGTGGTAAAGCTTTGGGCTGCGATCTGAATAGTATGCAGTTCAAAACCACCAGCAACTCCTCGGGAGAAAGACAGGGCTTTCTACTCCAGCAAACAGTTAGTTACAGTTTCAGAAATCCACAGGGCAGTCTCTATGAGTCAGCGTTGATGCGGTGGCAGTGAGTGTGCTAGCTAAAGCAAGGAAGATGACAAAGAAAGTGAGATAGAGAAAAGAGAAGTAGGGAAGAGGCCAGGAGGCAAGATCAGGGGCTCAAGTGGGAAGAAAATGCTTTGAAAATGATGATGGCGGCATATGTCCAAATGTGCTTGACACACTGGATGAAGGTGTGGATTGTGATAAGAGATGTAAAAGCCCCCTATTGTTAAAAAAATAAGAAGAAAGAATAAATGTAGGGGAAAAGAAATCTGGCATTAAGAAAATATTGTGTGGAATTGAAGGGAGAAAAAGCAAGTTGTTCATCTCCACGTGGCATTTACTGAGTTCACAAAGGTAATGTACTCCAAATGTATTCCAAATGTGTTTGACACAATGGATGTATGGATTGTTATAAAAACTATAAAAGCCTGAAATAACATGATTTCTTAATTTTAAAAAAAGATAATGCATTCAGACGAGGGCCTGTAAAATATCAAGTTCAGGATGAAAATCCTCTCTGCCATCAAGCTGAGCCCCACTCATCGTGACCCTGCAGGACAGGGGAGCATGGCCACTGTGGCTTCCCAGACGGGAACTTCTTACAGGAGCGGAAAGTCTCATCTTCCTCCTGTGGAGCAGTTGAGGGTCTCAAAGTGCTGAACTTGCTGTTAACATCCCGAGGCTTAACCTACTATGCCAGCAGGGTTCTTAGGATAAACATTAGTGATCCATTTTGTATGCTTATTATTACTACTAAGGTATAGTAGCTAAGCTATAGGCAGTTATGTCTGATGGTCTTTGCCACTTGGTACCCTCCCTCTGATTCCACTCTATCTAATACAATAGATCGACACAGCGGCTGCAACTATGGCTCACAACTCAACTCCAGGAGTTTTGTTGGGTTGGTGGTTACTTGGGCTACTAACTTCAAGGTCAGCAGTTTGAAAGCTGCTCTGCTGGAGAAAGAAGGGGCTGTCTACTCCCATAAGGAGTTATAGTCTCAGAAACTTACATGGGCAGTGATCCCTGCCTTCTAGGGTGGCTATGAGTTCGTAGTGACTCTACTATGGCTGTGAGTATTTTGATGTCAAGTAACTCATTGCCATCGATTTGATACTGAATCATAGGGACCCTATATGGCAGGTAAGAGCTGCCATGGAATTGCAGAGATTTTTTTTTTTTTACCAATTAAGGGAATAGAAAGCCCCGTCTTTCTCTCATGGAGTAATTCTTGGTTTGGAACTGCTAACATTGCAATTAGCCCCACGTATAACCACTAAGCCTCGAGGACTCATCTAGGCTAGATGCAGTTTAATCATTTTCTCTGCTTGTCTCCTCGCCAAAGTGCCAGGAAGCAAGCAGAAAACGAGGAAAGGAAGCATAAACACAGCTACGCCCCCCCCTACCCGCACCCCAACCAACTTACTATCCTTTCGTGGGTTAACAAGGAGGAAAGCTAATAAATGCAATAACCTTGTAAACAGACAGTAAACCCCTTGCCATCAAGTTGCCTGTAACTCAAGGAGAGCCCCGGTTGGTCAAGAAGATCTGTGTTACAGAAGGTTTTTAGTGGCTGGTCTTGAAAAATCAGATAGCCAGTCATGTCTTTCAGCAGCCCCTGGGCTAACATGAACCAATGCCCCCTTGTCAACCATTTGTGGCCTGGAGGCAGGAACTTCCAAAGAGCATTAAATTACATTGTCAGCTGACTTCACAAATTGCCACTTCCAGGAAGCCACTCAGCATAATATCCATTAAATTAGACACACAGCTCCTAGGAGCTGCTCCAATGATCATCACCAAAGATCCCACAGACAAGTTAGTGTCTTTTTAAGAAGACCCTTTCCCTGTCGATCCAGAAGTTTCATCTCCTTTCCATTCCCCAAACAAGAATTGTCTCTCATATCAACACATCTACAATTTTTTACCTGCCTGTTAAATACATATATTTAAAGGCACTGCCATCTGCAGCGAGCAGTTCACTCTCTCCCTCCACAGCCACCCTGTGAGGAAGGTGACACCAGTAGACATTTATCAGATTTATCAGATGTCTGTAACTGAGACGCCAGAATGTAAAGTGACCTGTTGGTATCGTAGCTAAGAAAGGGCAGTGTTTGTTACCAAGCACTGCTACAACAGAAATACCACTGCTACAACAGAAATACCATAGGCAGAGGGCTAGAACAATTAGAAATTTATTCATTCACCTTCTAAGGGGATAGATGCCCCGAATCACCAACAGGATCTTGATGGCCCACAAGTGCTAGGATTTCACATTATACCATTGAGGAGCATCACATCAGACCTACAAACGGACGGCTATTGAGTCATGCTCTCTATCTGAGTCTCTATGGCTGGCCATCTCCTTGGGCTGTCTGCCTGACTCCAGCACTATATCTCTTAGCTTGTCCATGTGCAATTGAAGAGTCCGCTGATGGGGAGAATCTGTGTTGTCCAGGTAACAATCAAAAGGCACTGGAAGCTCCAGGAAGGTAAGTTTGTGCAGCAGGAGGATGCGCCTCAATAGTGTTCCCAGGTCAGCCATAGACAGCGAGTTTCCATAGAAGCTGAAGGATTGGAGCTGGGAGCACTGGCCTAGGACGGGTAGGATGGAAAAAAAGAAGTTGTTGCTGAACCTACATCCACTCAAGTCTAGGTCCTGCAGGGTGGCTGAGGATCTCATCAGCAGAACATGTAGCAGCTCAGGATCTAAAGTTGTCTGGATGATGTCCTTCAAATGCAGGGATTTTAGGTGGCTGGTGCTGGGGCACATGGAAAGATAGTTGCTATCAGATGTTAAAAGTGGTAAACTAGTTATGCAGAGGAATTCCAAGGGGTTCTTTAGGTACTTGAGCACCTGTTCCCAGCGACCATGCAGGCAGTGGACGTACTCCACGGTGAGTTCTTTGAGCTGTTGCAGCTGCGCAAACTGGGAGGTGAATTGGACAAAGAGGTTCTCTGCCTCTTGCTCATCATCCTGAGGCAACCAAAAATGCATGATGGCTCTAGAGAGTGTCAGTTTTCTCAGATTAACCATCTGGCCCAGGTAAGGGGCAAAACTTCCCAGGATGTCCACTTCCCAGGTAGATTTCATCACCAACTCTTCGATAAAGTCCAGCTGTAAGGTCTCCATCATTTTCTCAATGAGAAAAAAATTACGTGGCACGTTCACAAGCTCCAGCCTGCTACAGCAGAGGTGCAGTATGTCTTCTCTCTGTTGGACCCTCTCAATGAGGTAGGTGAGGGATTCATCAGGGCCGCCGTTCTCAATAAGCCCATCTATGAGCACAACCAAGGGGTCAAAGAGCTGCCTCTCCTCCAACATGGACTCTCCCACTTTTTGTCTCTTTCTTCTGTGATGAGCGTCCACTAACTCCTTTACAGAGCATGCAGATGACCCAGCCATGCTTCCTGATCCTCCATACCAGGCGTTGGTTACTGTGTTCTCCCGTAAATCCAATACTTGTAGTTTTGATCTCTTGGGGTGAATCTTCTGGAGAAACAGGTCATCGACGCCATCCAGTAAAGCCTTTAAGATGTCCTGGTGAGGCTTCTCAACTCCCCTTAGGACTCTCAGGGAGAGGTAGGGGTAAGGCCAGTCTCCTATGATTGCCCTCAGTGTCTTGTAGTGTCTCCCTGTGACGGCTACCTCTAGTAGAGGCAGAAAGATATGCTCAGGCAGCCATTCCAGAATAGGGATGACTAAGTCTTCATCACGTACAATATTCTGGATTGCAAGGTCGAGGAGCATGGGGGCGTTGTGGGTATTCATGCCGATGAATCTGCGCTGAAGGCCTTCTGATCTGTGATGGCTGTGTGGATCAGCTCGGACCACGGAGGGAACTGAGATGGCAATCCTCGTACTTCAAGATTTCAGTGCCTCTTTCGCTGCTCAGAAACGTTTATAATCTGTTTTGGTCCTGCTCCTCCCCTTTTCAAAAGGTGATTGTAGAGGCTATTAACTCCCAAGACCCTGGGTCATACATCAGGCTGGAGCCTTCTCTTTTATCACATAGATGCAGAGGTCAATGTTGACTTACTCACTAGCTTACTCACCTTGTTCTGGATTGAGTGGTTGTTTGTGTTGTGTGCCCTTGAGTTAGTTCTGACTCACAAGTGCAACAGACCAAACACTTTTGGCCCCACTCCATCCTCACAATTGTTGTTAGGTTTGAGCCCATTGTTGGCACAAACTGCCAGTCCATCCTGGGTAGTGTTTTATCTCTTTCCCTAACCCTGTACTTTACCAACCATGATGTCCTTTATCCGGAACTGGTCTCTCCTGATAACATGTTCAAACTGCCTGAGATGAAGCTTCACCATGCTCACTTCTAAGAAGCATTCTTGTACTTCTTTTAAGGTAACTTTCTTTGATCTTCTGAGACGGTCCATGGTAGTTTTAAAATTCTTCACCATCATCTTAAATCAAATGTGTCATTTCTTCTGATATCCTTCAATCCTTGTCCTGTTTTCACAAGCATATGGGGTGTTTGAAAATACCGTGTCTTGGGTCTTGTGCAACTTAATCTTCAAATTGACATCCTTGCTCTTCCAAACTTGAAAGAAGTCTTCCACAGCAAGGTTTCCCCATGCAATCCATAATTTGATTTCTTGACTGCTACTTCCATCACCATTGATTGTGGATTCAAGCAAAGTAAGATCTTTCACAACTTCATTTTTTTTCTCCAGGTATCATGTGGTTGTCTATTTACTGGTCCAATTGGGAGGATTTGACTTTTCTTGAAATTGAGTTGCAATTCAAACTGAAGGTTGCAGTTTTTGACTGCCACCAGCAAGTCCTCCAAGTCCTCCTTATTTACAGCAAGCAAAGTTGTTTGCTCTGCATAGGTCAGGTTGCTAATAATTCTTCCTCCAGTTCTTATGCCCCACTCTCCTTTATTTTATTTTGTTTTTAAGTGTTTATTATGAATTAGACAAGGGTCTGCATTTTAGATAATTTTTGCATTCAAGAAGTTAAACAACTTAACAATCCTCTAGATGGCTGGATCTGGTTGGTGCATAAGTTGGAATAATATTGCAAGAAGAGAGGGAGGAAGGGTGCAGTAGGGAGCGGACAGCATTGTTGACTGTATAACCCACTTGACGGGATTGAACAACAGAATTGTATGTGAATGGATATATTGGATTGTGTGAGATATGGCAGAAAAACTATTATAGGAAAAAAGGATTATATCCTGGGGAATAGAGTGGGGATGTGAGGAGATAAAGGGGAGCTGATATCAAGGAGCTCAAAAAGAAAGACAATGTTTTGAAACTCATTGTGGTAGCAGTTGTACAATACTGTTTGATGTGATTGAACTATGGAACATTACAATATTTGTTAGAGCTACCAATAAAGTAATTATTAAAAATACATTGGTTTTTAAAACATGGGGGAAATTTGAATATTTATACAAACTAAGTCTCCTTATAGGAATATTGATATTATCCTATCACAGACAGCATGGTATTCCAAGGTAGATACTGAGAGGTTCTCTTTGAAAAGGAAGGCAACACCATTCCTTTTATGTGTCATTCCTGGATTTATAAATTATATGATTATCTGATTTAAGACTAATCCATGTCAGCTCACTAACGCCTGTTATTAGTTTTTTTTGAATGCACCAAACACATCAGCCTTTGTTATTTTTTAAGCAAATGACAAAGACCCATTTTATCAGCTTTGCTGTTAAACCTAAGCTTAACATTACATATTTAAATAATGTTCAAACTTTCTAAGCTTCCAGCATTTATGTACAACTAGAAAACATCCTTCATTTATATTAAACCAGAAATGTATCACCATTAAAGTATTATTATCTTTCACTACTCAATACTGGGGAGAAAAATTAAATTATTTTTGTCAGAGATTCATCCTGGCAATGTTAACGTCACAGCAGACTGAAACTACTAGAATCACATTTCAGACAAACTGGAAAAAAAGCAGGATCCATGCTGGTGTTAATACACAATTTTCTCCTAACTCTACTAAAGAATCATTGTTCACCAAGAATTAAGTTTAATAATAATAATAATAAAGCAAAGTGCATACATAAATGTACAGCAATTTTAAAGACAAAAAAATGGTCCTATTAATGTGGTCCCAACACTAAACTCAAAAGTCTATGACAAATAGGTGCTCCGATGAGCTGTTTATAAATACTTTAGATTAGGTACAGTTATACTGAAAGTATAGTTGGTTTGAAATCTTCAAAAAAAGTTCTTGTTTATCCTCAAATAGTGCTTGTAAGAGTTTAACATTTCTGTTAAATGCATGCGTTGAATTACTTGTTATCCAAGCATAGCAGCTGCTCCTTAACCATTTATAGTAAGGGAGAAAGGGAGGAAAGAAAGTGCGAGGAATCGCAGTCACCGCCTCCGCCAGCAACAGCCGTGCCAGACTTGAGAGGAGACCATGGGCCCCTCTGCCCAGCTTCTCCTCCTCCCTACTGCTGGCTGCCAACCTCCTTGGGACTTGTTCCAACAATCTGTTAAAACATGGTGGATTACTATGAAGTTCTAGGTGTGCAGAGGCATGCTTCACCCGAGGATATGAAAAAAAGCATATCGTAAGTTGGCACTGAAGTGGCATCCTGATAAAAATCCTGAGAATAAGGAGGAAGCAGAGAGGAAGTTCAATCAAGTAGTTGAGGCATATGAGGTGTTATCAGATGCTAAAAAAACGGGACATCTATGACAAATATGGCAAAGAAGGATTGAACGGTGGAGGTGGAAGTCATTTTGACAGTCCACTTGAGTTTGGCTTCACATTCCGTAATCCAGATGAGGTCTTCAGGGAATTTTTTGGTGGAAGGGACCCATTTGACTTTTTTGAAGGCCCATTTGAGGACTTTTTGGGGAATCACAGAGGCCCTCGTGGAAGCTGAACCCAAGGCGCAGGATCCTTTTTCTCTACCTTCAGTGGGTTTCCTGCTTTTGATACAGGGTGGTCTTACTTCACTCTCTTCTACTTCATTTGGTGGTAGTGGCCTGGGCAACTTCAAATCTCTATCAACTTCTACTAAAATAATTAATGGCAGAAAAATCACAACCAAGAGAATTGTTGAGAATGGTGAAGAAACAGAAGTTGAAGAAGAGCGCCAGTTAAAGTCCTTAACTATAAATGGTAAGGAGCAGCTGTTATTAGCTTTTATGCAAAACAATTCATTTGGACAACCTCTGATTTTCCTAAAAGGATACTTCACTTCCTTCGCACTTATTACTAATGGATGTTTGTATCTGGTTCTGTTCCTTTGGAATCAATACCCCTCATCAGAGGCAGCTCTCCAAAGCTCATTAAGGTTGACTATTTTGAAGCAGCAGCTCTTCCAACATGAGGGACTTGTCTGCTGGCACTAGTGTTCATTAGGTATTTAGTTGATAATTTTTTTAAGAATTGGATCACCTCTTTCTTCTCATCTGTACTTCTTGTGAAAGCTCTTTTGAAACCTGATCAGCACGGGTGATCTTGCTGATATTTGAAACACTGGTGATGTAGCTTCCAGCATTACAGTCCAGGTAAGCCACCACAGTCCCACAGGCTGACAGATGAGTGGAGGATACTAGAATAGAATGGGTGCTAATCGTCTATGAGTGATGACTTTATGAAAAAAGGTATTAATGCATAAAGAGACCTCGGAAGGATAGTCATATGAAGATACACCTACTAAAATAAAGATTAACAAGAGTGTTGTGCCCCACCAGAAGCTAGGAGAGAAGCAGAGACCTGGACAAGGTAGGAAGAATGTCATTGCTGAAGTCACATGGATCATGGCTGAAAGTAGAGAATAACAGGCAGATACTTAGTTGTGTTTTATTGACTCTTCAAAGGTATTTCACGATGTGATTCTATCTTTGGGAAGAATGGGCATTCACGAGCCCTGGTGGTGTAATTTATGTGTTGGCAGGTAATCCTCGTGCGCATCAGTTCAAGATCATCAGCATCCCCCTCTGAAGAAAACTGGTCTTTCTACTCCTATAAACAGTTACAATCTCAGAAACCCATAGGAGGTTGTTGTGAGTCAGCATTGACTCAAGGGCAGTGAGTACAGTTTTGGTTTTAATGTGCGCATGTGGAATCTGTACATAGACCAAGAGGTATTGGCTTGATGATTTAAATTCAGGAAAAGTACGCTGCGGTGTTGGATTCCTTCACAAAGCTTGTTCGATCAATATGCTGAGCACATAATCTGACAAACTGGGCTGTGTGGAAAATAATGCTGTATGACGTTCAGAGAAGGAGAGATCAACAGCCTGAGCTCTGCAGATGACACAACCTCTCTTGCTGAATGGAAAGGTTGCTTGAAGTATTTACTTGGGAAGGACAAAGACAACACAGCCTGCATTGTGGTTTATACCTCAGCACAAAAAGAATAAATTAGACGGGTGTCTAACAGCATAATTAAAGTAAAAAGTACTGAAGTTATCAATGACTTCCTTTCAGTTGGATTCACAATCAATGCTCATGCATGCAGCACCTTAAAGATCAAAGAGACTTCTGGCAAGATGTTGAACAAGTTAGAACTGCTACACTAACCCTCTGCAAAGAGCTCACCGCCTTTGGGTTGATTTTGACTTATCGTGACCATATCGGACAGGATAAAACTGCTGCTGTAAGTTTCTGAGACTTTGACTCTTTACAGGAGCAAAAACACCATCTTTCTCCCTTGGATGGGCTGGTGGTTTCCAACTGCTGATCTAATGGTTAGCCCCATCTTGGAACCACTACACCATCAGGGTTCTCTCTGACAGGACAGGGCATACCAAATGAAA